AACACTAAATCTGACTCATTTTTATCTCCCTCAGGCGTTCCCCAGGGGGGACATCTATCACCTCTTCTATTCTCTTTGTTTGTTAACAGTGCTAGCTCCTCTCTCAAACATAGCAAACTTCTTTGTTTTGCCGACGATATGAAGATTTTCCTCGAAATTAACTCTGTCGATGATTGTCTCAAACTCCAGGATGATTTAAATAGTTTCTCTGGCTGATTCTCTCGGTCTCACATTAAATATCGAAAAGTGCCGGTCCACGACATTCACAAGAAGTCGCTCTCCTATTGCTCATCTTTACTCATTGAATGGCTCTAATTTGATTCCAGTTGACACTAGCATCTGTGATCTTGGTTTTACTTTTACTCCCTCTCTTTGTCCTAGAGCTCACATAGACAGAGTTACATGAAAAGCCCTTAAGGTATTGGGTTTCGTCAAAAGAATATCTAGTGACTTTAAGCTTTCCGCTTCCCTCAAAGCAATATATTGTGCACTTGTACGTCCAATCGTTGAATACGGCTCAGTTGTATGGGATCCCCAATCAACTGATGCTTGTCTTCAACTAGAACGGGTTCAGCGAAAATTTTTATGTTACATGAAACATTCTCTTAACGTAAACTGCACCCTTCACGATTACACTCCTCTTCTCTGTTTGCTTAACTTATCCTCCCTAGCTGACCGTCGTCATTCCAATAATCTCACATTCCTTAACAAACTCTTAACAGGCTTGGTCGATTCCCCATCACTTCTTTCTCTCATTAACTTTAGAGTTCCTGTTAGGTCCACCCGCAATAATCATCCTTTCTTTATACCTTTCTGCACTAGAAACTATCTAAAAAATGAACCCATTACTAGATTAATGAAATTAGCCAATGAGGATGCGTTGTTCCTTTAATAGTTTTATTTTTGTATTCATTTTTTAGTTTAATTTATATTTTATACATTGTTATACTATTCATGTTACGTTATTGTATGATTGTATTGTTCACCTAATAATTTTAACCTGGGCTCACGCCCGTTTGTTCATTAAATAAAATAAATAAAAAGAAAATTACCTAATATTCACTCAAAAAATAATTACCATAATTTTACATCACTAGGTATGTCACTGTATGTCTAATTAGTTAGTAATTGTTTAAAATTTAAAAAAAAAGCAATAGATGATCCTACAATTTCAATTTTTTACAACATTGGATATTAACTTTTCCTTGTTTAGTGATGTCCTTATTTTTTTGTAATTCATATGAATAACGGTAGATACTTTAGATTTCCTTCATAAGTTTATTTTATCATTTTCTATAATTGATAAAAGGTTCAAATGATTTGGCTCCTTAAGAGCTTTATATGAAAAATTTAAATTTTAAATTTTTTTTTATAGATTTCAATTAAATGTTATTTGTGCAAACTATTCAAAATTTTTTTTTCGAGTATTTTAAGTTCAAATTTTTAAACAAATGTATTCAATTAAAATTTTTTTTTTCTTGGTAACTTGAAACTTATATAGTAGATATATTACATACACACAATGAAATTTGCAAATGCAATTTTTTTGACGAAAATGAATTCAACCTATCATCATATTACTTATGAGTTATGACCATTTTAGTATAGTGAAATAAATTACTTTTGTCACAAAAATATCATAAAATATAATTACTTAGTAATATGTTATGGTGATAGAAAAAGATTATCATCTTCACTCAAAATTATTTTTGTACATTTTGATTTTTTATCATTGAATTCAAATTTAACACGTTCATTAAAGTGACTTAATCGACACCTATTGTACCTATAGCAGAGCATTATCCACTTACCCACTTTTTAAACATCAATTTATATAATATGTATTCACTAATCCCATTACTACAATCAATGACATTTTTTATGAGCCATAAATACATTATTTTGTAACCTAAAAATTTGTTTTTGAAGTGCACATCTTTACGTAGATATAGGTATATAATTAAAATATTTGAGAACCATGAATTTAGAATACTTGGATTTTTTTATTATATATTACATCATATTATATTTTATTTTATTATGTATTATATTATATTATATTACTTTATTTATTATATTTTATTGTATATATTATTTTATTGAAGCTAATTATTCTGCAACGAATAATTGACTTGACCGGTCCATGCATTTTATTCATAATTTTAGAAAATATTAAAGAAGGATGTGATTAACATGGTGTTGTGTGAATTACAATACAATTTATTTAACCTATCCTAATCTAACCCGAGCAAAGGAGGTCAGACAGTATAGTCAACATAAATCAATGGATTATTGAATATTCTGGCAATTTTTTTTAGAACTTCCCCTATGTAATTTATAAGCATCATTTATATTGAAAATGTAAGCTACAAAAATTTTTTTATGATTTTAGGTGTAAGCTTTATATAATGGAAAATTTTTTAAGATTAAATAAAATTACAAAAAAAACATAAAACTGATTACGTACATTTTTCTTGAGCTATTTTAAAATATAATATTTATTAGAAAATATTTTTAAAAATCCTGATTTTGATTAACCTTTATAATATTTTTTATTCAGATTATTGGTTCAATATTTAATTAAAAATAAAAAAAAAAGAATTATGCCTAACACAATATTATGATAATCTAGATATCGCCTATTTTAAATTTAAGAGAGTGTTGCGATCCAGATGTGGAGTTCGGTTGACAATGGTCGAATCAAATGAATTTACTCGTTGACAAATTAATTATTGTTATAATTTTATTGACGTTGTAGGTTAGTATTTAAACACTTTTTTAAACATTCAGAGTAATGTTACAACTTAAGACAAATATCTCTAGCATGAATACTGTCAACTAGTCGTCTCGCAGAAATAGTGTGTCCGGTCTCCCTGATGTGGGGCCTTTATATACTAGACAAACAGTCGGTTCACATGGTCTTTTACAAGGTCCCATTTAAGTATTCACAACGGATCTTTTATCCACTTTTCCTTGTGACACTTATTAATAGTAATTAATATATTGTGCCACGTATGCCGTGTGCAATACTGTCTTAATAATATCTTCGCGTGTGGTCACTCTTACCTTGGCTATCTCAATAAGAGTCAATTCTTTCAAATATCTTGGTTCTATTGTGACTGAAAAAAATGATATCACCAAGGAAGTAGCAGCGAGAATCCAAGTGGGAAACAGGACTTATTATGGTTTAGAGAAACTATTAAGTTCTAAATCATTATTAAGAGAGATAAAGAGACGTTTGTATACTAGTTTTGCGGGCCTTGACACTCTAGGCGCCACTATTCGCTATATAATAACATAGTATATAACACAGTATATAATATAATATAATATATCATAATGTTATTACGGTCATAAGCTCCATATATATAATTAACATAAATATTGCAACAATATAATATAGAATATGTACACGACTAGAAATCATGGACACGAGTCGCTATTCTAAGAATTGGCAACAACAACCGAAACACGCACACATACAAGCTGCACGCGCCGCTACATCAAAGGAGCCGCTATCACTTATAAGGGAGCCCGTGGGACAGCCTGAGCAGACGTATCATAGCTACGGAGACCTGAGCAACTTCTCGTCACACGCGCACACGCTATTATACTCTTACTTTATTTTCTGCTAAATAAACGTAATTCTACAGTTTAATTTGGTACTTGTTGATTTGTCTCTAAAGCTTACGGCTTTTGGAGCTTTTGAGATTACGCACACAACACTAGTCTAATACGGTCAGTGATATTGTATTGACGCGGCTACGGCGATATAGTGTATCACGGTGAGCCGGTCTGGAGGTGAGGTTTGATGAAGGCAACCAAAAAAAAAAAGAAAGGAAAAAAAAAAAAAGGAAAACAACACGCAATTGACGATCACGGTAGTGAAAAGAACACGTTTAATGGTGTATATGGTATTCACAAGAAAAATGGTCGAACACGAAACAATATCTGGTATAATAAAGTGTATGTATATTTTTGTGATCGGAGACGGTGGCGTATATTCGCGTCGACGGTCGTTGAACGAGAG